GGCGTGCGACGAGTTGCGGTGACCCCGCCGCGGCGTTCGACGACGCCCAGCGACGAGAAAATAAAATAACGGGAAGAAGAGGGGCATCTCGAGGAGCATCCCGTGGAGGTCGAGTAATTCCTCGATTGTAATTGGTTAATGTCGTTCCCTAGTTGCTTCCAAACACTCGTTCGCGAATTCCAAGTTTCGAGGAGACACGGGGTAGTCCGGATCCGGGATGGGGATCGGCGAGTTAATCCTTGGCAACGGTTGGGAAGAGAGGAAAACTGGCGGTTGAGCGTCGGAGGAAGAGGATTCGACGAGGAGAAGCGAGCAGAAACTTTTGAAAAAGCGCATCCCACGGCGGCCTTGTCCCACCACGAGTGAATTAAAAGCAGTCTGCGCGCGGTCTGTGGGGACCGAGTACAAAGACGCGGAAAGAAAACGGAAGAGAGAGAGAGAGCAAAGAGGAGGAAAGAAACGAAGGTGGAAAAGGAGGGGCAGATAAACGATCCGTGCAACTTTCTTTCTCGCCAAAGTGTCCGAGCAAAGTCGATTTAAAATGGTGTACGAAAGGGATTAAAGGAGGAAAAGTGCGACGATTTGCGAGTGACGACAGCCAAAAAAAAAAAAAAAAGGAAAGAAAATGGATAAACGTACCGAGTATCCCGCGATTAAACAAAAATCGAAGAGGAAAAAGGATTTATGATCCACGACGCATAGGTGAAACGTAGAATAATAATAATAATAATAAATCGAGTTTAACGAAATTAAACTGGTGCGGCTAGATAATTGGTGAAAGTTTGGGTCCCGAGGGGAGGGGGGGAAACGGTAATCGGAAATTTGAAAAGCCGTGGACGTTCGGTCCGACGGAAGCGAAACAGGAGTGTTGGCTCGCCGCGAGGATGAATCGCCGCGAGTGATCGGCGGGGTGGGCGATCGAGGCGATTGATTGGAACGTGGTGGACGTTCTGTGCGCGAGAAACGAGAGAAGAGCAGAGAGAGAGAGAGAGAGAGAGAGTGGAGGGGAAATGGTGGAAACGGTGGTGTTAGGAGGAATATGGTGCGGGTGAGCCGGTGAGCCGACGGTGATGGCATGAGGACATTAGTAAGGAAGAGGTGCGGGTCTAGCGAGGAGGAGGATGAGGATGGTGGTGGGCGTGATGGTCCTCGGTCAGCTACTGACGAGGATTTTGCTCGCTGCCCATGCGGGAGATCGGCTCGCGGCCGCTCGCAGAATACTCAGGGACGTGCCTTTGATAGACGGGTGAGTGAAACGATATTA